CCCTTAGTCCATTTGTAACTTTCTAAAATCAAAGTTTTAATCACCCTTTTGTTGTTTACTCCAAAAAAAAAAAAATTAAACTTATTTTTAAAACTTCTTTGCTAAGGATTGAAGGAAACTCACCTGGCACTATAAAACTTGTCAATCCAAAGGTTCCTATTGGCTGAAAAGCAGTTAACAAGCAACTTCTGAATGTGATTAGAAAAGGAAGTATGCAAACTTAGTGTCCTTTCAAAGATGCCAACCATGGTTTGAGCAAGATAGCTATTCCCTTGTCTCCTAGAGCTCCTAACCCACTGAGACCGCTCTCTTGCAGTCTCCTCATGAGGAGCAGCTGTCTGGGGTACTTGTGGGAGATCTCAAGTCCCTTCCTTGTCCAGAGGAATTATGGAAGAGCCGGTCTACTTACTGGCTCTTCATTCCGCCAGTCATCGGCTCTGCTTTTCACAGAGCTGTCTTCAGTCTGCCATTTCTTCCCCAGAAGTGATCATCACCATGATTCTTGACCTTCCCTCACAAATCCTTTCCCCTGACAATTCTAAGAAACTGCACACTCAACACTGTATTATAGACCTTCACAGCCTCCACAAAACTGCTTATTTGAATTTTCTATGTGCCAAATCTAAAAATATAGGATATATTATTTCTAATGCCAAACCCAGACCATTTTAAATTATCTGCAAGCTTAAAAAAAAAAAAAAAAGATATTCTCAATTCTTACAATATTAGAACCACATCTGCCACTTATTGGTTTAATCATAGGGAATTTTTTTTCCTATTTTCTAAAAGACACATTTCAGGATATTCATACCATTCAGTATACTTTAGCAAATGCAGTGCATTGCCAGATCCTAACCCAGCGACGCTGCAGTAAATAATATCTCAACCTTTAATTTTAGAGTGTTAAAAAAATTATCAGTATGAAACAATGCTGTAACTATTAATATGAAGGACAATAATTATAAAGGGAAAAAACAGCTCTTGACAGTTGAATTATCTATCAGTCTACAGCAGAAGAGTAGAAACACTCAAACCATTAATTATATAATCTTACAATACAAACAAAACTTAATTCTAGCACTAACCAAAGGAAATATCGCTACTAATCTTAATATGAACAAGAACATCATGCTGCTGATCAGTTTCTATCTGTATTCTCAGGTATGAGACCCAACATCAGATTATGACTGTATATTATATGAACAAGCAAACAAGAGCCTCAGTTCATATGTGCTCCCCCCCCCCATTTAAATGCAACAACTCCCTGCTTCTGACCTCATTTGCAGCAAAATACAATTTCAATCTTGGATTGCAGGATAAATTGATACAATTATCAGAAACAGAAACTACTGCCATGCGTGAAGGACGATAAAGTATGTAACATGTGACTTGATACTGCCTGTTCCATGGCAGAAATTTTGCAGATTTGCCTAATAGTAAGTAACAGCCTTTGAGAATTATAATTTTATTATTGCAGCAGGCACTGTTAGAAAGAGGTCAGTCAAGAAAGGTAAACAAAATGTGTATTTATTTTCAAATGTACATAAATGTAATGTAGGCATGCAATATCCTAAATTCACCAGCCCTACTAGCTCTGTAATTTGCTTATCTAGAATTTTAGGGATGCTTCAGTACCAGCAGTTTCCATACCTCAGTTCTTCCAGGGGGCTCAGCTAACCTGTGGCTGTCTTTGCTGCTGACCCTTGAAATGCTGATGGCATCATGAGCCAGTCAGTATTCCCTCCAGCTGAGAAATCAAGGAATACAAAAAAATGCCATTCAGTCTGTCCTCAGCAATGGGAAACAGGCATAAGCAAAAGAGAAACTACTTAAAGTGCAGTTTTTATATGTACTGCAGTTGAGCCAGAAATAAATCAACTCAGTTAACAGAAATGATAGTGGGACTGTCTCCTCTGAACAGAAATAGATTATCCTTTGTGTTTCAGCTTAGCGCCCTATGGAGATTTCC